ACAAACTGGAAACCATTAGGGACCAATTAACAGAGAGAAGATTGTTCTCCAGTGACACTGATGTCTTCAAATGCAGGAGTACAGCATGTTGGCGTGGGTAGAGCCCGCTCATGAGAAAGGGCTTCCTTCCAGGGTGGGCAACATACCGCTTGGCAAAGCTGGTGCAGCCTCTCAGGTGGAGGGCAGGTGCCCTCCTGCTCAAATGGCCTTCTCGCAGCTGCTCTTGACCAGTCCCTGGTGTTGAGCTTCTCTTACTGAACTCCCAGCCTCAAGAATTCCAAGCCGGTATACCTTCGGGAGCCAACAAGGGCCAATCCAATCTGAGTGACAGGGCAAAGAGCTTGGGCTCCATCCCTCCCCCATAGAACCTACCTGGAGAGCCTTGAGAGCTTCCTTCGTGTCAACCTCTGTGCCTACACCACTCCTACCGCCAGTCTCTGGGACAGCCCTTGTACTAATCGAATGTTATTACACTTGGGTATCTTGGGCACTTGCTGATCAACTGGCCTTTTAGAGCAAGAAGGGGCCTGGTACCCCTGAGAGTGGATGGGGCAGGTGCAGTGGCTCTCATGGAGGACAGAGAGTGGACACCCAGAGCAGGAGTTAGGGCTTTGGGGTAATCTGGCCAGCATGGACTCCAGCAAGACCTGGGCATGTGGGAAGCTATCCTTACCCTGCATGGGGAAGACCAGATCACTGGTTCCAGCCATGCGTGCCGTCAGGCTTGATCTGGGGGTGAGCACACAGGGAAGTGACCAAGTACAGCCACTAAGGAGAGTCTGGGAGCCTCAGATTGAAGGTGTCGTTGCCCCCATCACCTCTCTCTGTGCTGCTTTGGGTAGATGATCGATTCCCGTCCTCAGCAGCAGGCGCCACATGACTGGGGCTTCTGCTCTCTCTCAGATACCAGGCCACATGGATGACCCCCCCCCCCCAATCCTTACTGAAAACAGAAAAGATCAGCACATAGGCACATGAACTACAGGCCAACCTCGCCCCTTTGCCTGGCCCAGGGCCTTGTGCGAAGTAGATGTTCAGAAAATATTTACTGAGAAAATGAAATGTTAGTTCTTTGAGCAAGTTCTAGCTAGGGTGTGTACCTCGGTGCCGCCCAGGCAGGCCTGGAGCCAGAGGGTGGAGCTGTCCTTTTCAGGCTGTGACTCAGGTCTTGAGGGACACCTCCCCCTAGGTCAGCCTCCGGTAGCCTGTCTGTGTGGGAGGCTTAACCCACGGGCCAGCCAGTCTGGGGCAAGGAAGGGAGGGCACCTCTGTCAGCCAAGACTCAGTGCAGCAAGCCTTTGAGTGGAACAGGTGTCTTGAATGTCCTTTGGTTCCCATGAGGAAGCTTGTCACCACTCAGACCCCCAGCCCAGGTGACACCAGGACCAGTTACTCCTTCCTGAGGGCATTTGAAATGAAGTCTGAAGAAGTGAGTCAGGACACTTAGAATGTGGACAGCCCACCAACCAGGGGCACCAGGGTGCCAAGGACATGCAGTGTGGCATCAGGGCTAAAAACGTTGACATGGAAGTGGAAGTTTAAGAACTCCAAGCTGACATTGTGTGACCGCTTTCTGGGGATCCACACTTTGTGACGTCGGCTTCTCTGATACTCAGCCTGCATCAGTTAACTCTGATGTCGATCCACTCACGAGGACAACAGAAAAGTTGTGTCCCCATGGTTACAGAGTGGATCAACTGGGACACTGGCCTTTAGACCCAGGACTCACTGTCTTCCTTCATGATATTCTTCTGAGGGTTAAGATAGGGGCTGGACTCTGAGGATGCCAACTGGAGCATCCTTCTTGATAGAGAATAGCTAGGTCAGGGGAGGTGCCACCTCCTCACCTCCATTCCCAAGACCCAGCCTTTCTCAGTTTAGCCGGGAAGGGTCTTCAGGGACCTACTGAGTTCGGTCCCCATGGTCACCCAACTATTTTGCCTTGGGTAAGCCACAAGTGTACTTGCGACCCGTATTTCATCCTTAACTGAGACCCACCTGCTTCTAGATATGACCAGGATCTGACTCTCTTGAGGACTTCCAAAGCACACACAGAAAACAGGTAGAGCCCTGATGACCTCTTCACTGAGAAACCAGATGAAGCTTGGGGGACCCCAGACTGTTGTCCTAGCTAGGGATTCTCCACTGTGAACTAGGTCTCTTTCACACCCTTAGCTGTGCCTATCACAGAGCTGCTGCCATGTGCTGCCCAGCAAAGAGGGCATTCCTCTCCCCACTGCCCTGAAGACCCTGCACGGGACACACCAACGTACCAGTGGCAACCGAGGCACACCATTGCCCCTCTCCAGCCCATATGCCTGATGTGCACCGTTACCTGAAAGTCCCATCATTAATCCGTCACTCCTCCTGGGACAGCAACCTGCAGTTCCAAGGACCCCATGGCTGCTCACAGACACTTCTTCTGCCTGAGCCATGCTCAGAAGCAAAGGAAGACAAAGAGGAAAAAGGATGCTGGCCAGATGGGCAGGACCGGGACCAGAGCCTGTGCCAGGGCAGAGGCAGAGATCATGAAGGCAAGGCCAGCCTGGGCCATTATGCAGATGGATGCCAGCAGGGTTAGAGGTCAGCCTTGCAGAAATTGGGGCCAGGGAGGCTGTGAGCTTGAAGATCTCTTGGGAACTTAAGAAAGGATTCTATTTTTTGCAACGTTTACAAGCAGTTGTCGCCGCAGAACGAGGACATCAACAACAGCCAGACTTTGGAACCTCCTAGCTGCCTCACAGCTGCAACAGGGGGACAGCCAGAAGCAAAGGCAACCAGAAGCCCTTAAGATACTTCCTGTAGAGCTCAGTAGTCTATCTGGGTTGCATAGCAGTCAGCCAGGTGAGCATCTTGGGGGGAAAGGCACAAGTCAAAGGCTTACAACTGCGACTCCCATCCCACTCACCCCATCACAGAATACTGGAGTATCATCACAGAATACTGGAGAATCATCTCAGAGCCTCTAGTGAGCTGCTGCCCCCTCAGTCCTACTAGGGCTTCTTATGGTAGAACCACAGGCTCCCAGGGCCACTTTCTTGTGGTCAGCAGGCGTGACAGCCTCTGAAGATGTTCACATGAGGGCCCCAGAACCTATTGGTATGTTCCCTAACACAGCAAGGGAAACTTTGCAGGGTCTTGAGATGGGAAAGTAACCACAGATCGTCCCATGTAACTCCAAAGATCCTCATGAGAGACGAAGATGAAGAGAAGCCACGTGACCAGGGAATCAGGGGCAGACAGAGATAAGAGTCTAAATATGCCATCCCAGAAAGGAGCTTATGATTCAAAGCAATTGGCAGTCTCTCAGAGCTGGAAAGGCTTGTGCATAGCTTGGTCCCAGAAGATACAGCCTCGCTGGCACCCTGCTTCAGCCTAGGATGCCTGGTGTGGGACTTCTGTCCCCCAGGACTGTATGATGAGAAACTCTGTTTGAAGTCACTAAGATGACCTGAGGGATTGATGGGAAGGGGCTGGGGTCATAGAAACAAGCCGGAAGCCATCACAAGGATGGATGCTAGCGAGGCTGAAGGACACTCTTCCAAAGGCCCTGACTAGGGAGATTACTGCCCGAAGCTCCCTCTGGGATGAAGATACATTCCAGTTGAAGTGACTTGTCGCAGCTGTAGCTAAAACCCTCACTCGGCTCTGCCCAACCCCATTCCTTCTCTGGTGCCTGCAGGGGAGCTAGTTCCAGAGTTCAGGGAAATCTGAACTCCTTGAAGCTAATTCTCCCTGCAAGTCTCCACTAGATTGGCGTCACACATGGGACACCAGGATGTCCTCAGGATGTGATTGCTGTCCCAACGGAGAAATGCCATCCTGCCAGGCTTGAGGCTGTAGCTGTGTTTCCTATCAACAAGGATTGGAAGAGCTCCTGCAAGGGAGCACAAGCCCGCAGAGGCATGCCCTGGCCTTGGCCTGCTTCCCGAATCCCACCATCCTCTACCTTCTCCAACCAGAAGCATTCTCACAGAGTAAAGTCAGCCCCAGGTTGTGCTGAATCTAGCCTCACACCCAACCCACCAGAGTAAGGAGCCATGCTGGGAGACAGGTCCCAGAACTGCGGGACAGACCAAAGGGCCATTCTGGGTCCAGGATGACCCAAGCTTCTAAGTGTGGAATAAGCCCTCTCTGTGGACTGAATGGTTTCCGTCCCCAAATTCATGTGTTGACATCCTGAGTGGGTGGAGCCTCTGAGTTTGACTGCATTAGAAGGGGAGCCCTCTGAAGAGGCGATGAAGTTAAATGAGACCCCTAGGGTCTCACTGTCATCTTTACAGCAAGAGGAAAAGGTATCAGGGACCTGCACAGAGGGACACCCATGCGAAGAGGAGGGAAGAGAACAGTCACTAATGAGCCATGGTAAGAGGTCCCGGAGAAACCACTGTGCTGGTCCCTTGAGCTCACCTGAGCACTGACAGAATAAGCATGTGTTGTGTGGAGTCTGAATATGAAATGTCCCCACTAGCTCGCGTGTTTGAACACGGTCTTCAGCTCTTGACGTTGTTCGGGAATGTGGAACCTTTGAGGGCTGGAGCTTCACTGGGAAATGTGGCCCAGTGTGTAAAGGCCCCTGTCTGAGTTACTTTGCTATGGAGGCCAACGCTGAATGGGACACCCTCACCTTCTTCAAGCCCCAACAGGGGACCCTGCCTACCCAGTGATAAGATACACCCAGAGGCACCAAGCATCCAAACTCACCCGCCTGAGGCCAGTGGTCTCTCAGTCTTCGATTCCTACATTTGAAGACCATGTGAGGGCCGCTAGGAGCTGGACAGGACCTCCCAGCCTGTCTGCCAACCACTGCAGGCCTCCACAGAGATGTCCCCAGGAAACAGGTGTGGTCCTGTGACTGCTCTGGGTTTTTTTTTCTGCTATGAGGATCATGGGCGACCCCTTTGTGATGAGGAAGGCAGGGGAGGTGGTGACCGAACCCCCCCTCCCCCCGTGACTCGCTGGCACACACAGGACACCATGGAAAGAACTGGCCGGCAAGCTTGTGATGGAGGGCCCACTCCCCGCAGGCACCAGCTGTGTGGGTCCATCTTTAATTCTGTTAAATATGAATAAAAGTACAGGATAAATGTGACTCGCATATCATACCTTATATGACACAGGGAGGGAAGGTTTCATACGACCTGGCACACAGCTTTGGGAATACGAAGTGTCTTCGGCACCAGGTCTGTGTTTTGCTTTGGTTTGGGGTGACACGCTAGGGAGCTACCACCCAAAACACTACCTGTGCTCTCAAACAAGAGGAGGCCTCGACCGAGCAAAAGCAAAGACAATGCTGGTGACGCCTGGGGAGAGACCATTAGAGGCCAAACCGGGTTTGGATAGCCCCAGATGGAAGAAAGGAGGGGGCTGCATATTTTAAAAGATCAGCAATGAACCAAATAATATTGGAAATTATACCTTTGGCAATACTTCTGTAAGAAGCAGAATTACGCTACATGTTATTCACATGCATAGGAGTGCGCAAGAAAAAATGTCTTATAATTGTGGATTGGGGTGGGATGGTGAGAGATACGTTCTGGAAAATGACAGGCTAACTGGTGGAGAAATTAATCCATAAAGGCATTGTGTCTCTAATGGAGGGAGAAGCCTCATCAGCAAGATAGCTGAGGGGAACCCACTCGGTATAAGCACCCACACGCATGTGCGCTCTTGCACACGCCACACGGCCACATGTACACACACACAGTATTCCAAATAAATATTCATTCTCTCATTCTCTCTCTCTCTCTCTCTCTCTCTCTCTCTCTCTCTCTCTCTCTCTTATCATTTCTTCCCAAAGCATCCTGTACTCTGGCCAGATTTCCCCACTGGCGACTCAGCCAAGTGCTGGCTGTGAGAAAAGGGGGGGATTGTCCTGGAACGCAGACTTCAAGACACACAGCCCCTTCAGTAGCAGAGCTGGCCTAGTCCATGCTGATGCTCAGAGCTCTCCGAACCTTCCCATGGGCTGAGAGTCCCATCTCCAGCAATGGTGGACAGCAGAAGGACTCACATAGCCGAGCAACTGCGGAGCCTCCTGCCACCAACACCTGGGTTTCTCACACACATTCACGTGACAGTCGGGTACATAGTGTGTACACTTTCTGACGCTGGTGGACAGGATCCTGACCCGAGAACACAGCTTCCCAGGAAGCATCCCTTGGCAATACTCCAGAGAGAAGCTTTGTGACATTCCCCCTGGCCCTGTGTGCCAAATGGGCTTAAGCTGTTCTCCCTGGTGTTCCCTGGATGACAAAACCATCACCTTATCCATTGCGTACCAAGTTCCTAAAAGGCCCAGAAAGGTCCATAGAGAGCCAAGCTATCTCCTCGTCACCACACACCGCATTTAGCCCAAGCTTAGTCTGTGAGATGTGTTTCTGAGGACACGGGTGTCTTGAGAGCCTTCGTGAGTATGGAACTTTGGCCACACACGACAAAGAATGTGGATAAAAGATTCTTCCGACAGGAAGATGGAGGGAGGGAGCCTGTAACCAGCCAGAACCAGAAACTGAAGCAGCTTGCGCTCTCTGGTGACCTTCCACACATGGCGAGGGCTTCACTTCCTTTCCCGCCAACTGTTCGACGCCTTGAGGCTTCTCTATTCTGGCATTAACACCAAAACTTCCCTTTCCAAATACAAACTGAATTTCTTGAGAAAACATCCAAAGGAGCAGAAAAGAGAGGCAGGGTTAGTCAAATCCAAGGCGCAATGTTTGTTTAAGAGTGCCCCTTCTCTATGCTGGGCATAAATACAGTCTGCGGGGGCAGAATAGGAGGTCAGAGAGATGAGCGCGCTGCCAAATGCCAGGGTTTTGTTTTGTTTTCTTTTCTTTTGGGCACAGCAAAGGGAACAGGGCTTATTTCTGATGTCACTGAAGGGCTGACTTGGGAATATGAACCAAAATGAAAAGCGCCTCTGTTCTCCAAGCCGCTTCTTTCTCTGCTAGATGGGGTTAGCCATTTATGCAAGGGGTGCTGGGAAATAACACCTGAAGGGTGGTTCCAGTCAGCCCCAAAGCACAGCCTCTAGTGAGCTTGGACTTAATCGGATCTCAGAGCTGTCCAATCCTACACCCAGACAAGCTCTCCTGGAGGTAGGAGGTCAGGGCTGGTCTGTGGGTTCCCCAAACCTCCTCTTCCTACCCACTGGGTGCCAGTCTACCGTCCTAAGCTCCAAGGTACTCTGGGAACAGACAGGAGCCTCGCCCCAGTGTACTTTCCAAGGCTTCAGGTGGAAGAATTCAAGAGCAGAGCTGTTGAACATGGCAAGAGAAATGCCAGATAGTTCCCATTGACTATCGCCTTGGAGGAGAAGAGGGGCGCCGGTGGCTTTCTCCACACTGTGGGTGACAGTTCTCCATCAGGAGACTTCTAAAGTCATGGCAATGACAGAGTCTATAGGTCTGGCTCCGGCAGAAGGGACTCAGCTCTCACGTCGTCTTCCAGGCAAATGCTTCATCATCTAGGACCTGTGCCAGCCTAGTGTTGAAAGGCCCATAGAAGTCCTGCAAAATCTTCTGCGTGACTGGCCACATGGGCCCCAGGCTACGATCCTCGGGACGCCGTGTGTTAGACGCAGGGCTCTTGGTCATCAACGCTTCTTGCTTCTCACTTAGAGGCCCTATAATGAGAAGGAAAATGATCCTGTAAGGCCGGAGGTGAAGGGACGTCACAAGAGGCCCAGCTGTACTTCGGGCAAGTAGAAGACGTTCCTGTAGGAAGATACATGGCTGGACTGGAAAGATGGCTCAGTGGCTAACCTCCCTGATTCTTGCAGCACCTACGATCCTGTAACTCCACTTCCAGGGGATCTGATACCCTCTTCTGAACTCCGAGGCCACGAGGCGCACAGATGGTACATGCACATACATGCAAGTAGAACAAACATAAAATAAAACTAATAATTTTTTAAGTAAAATGAAATAAAAAAGATCTGGTTAGATCCACTGGAAGAAACCAAAGAGGGAAGAAACCACTAGATGCTGTAAAGTGATTCTAAAGTCTAGGGTCATGTCTGTTCTTGTGGGATGGTGTCCCTTTACCTCCAGCCACCCTGCATTGGCTGCCCTTTGGGGCCCTCAGTTGTCCTAGGTAACTATGTACAGGGACTTTGGTTGCCTGGAATTCTGCCACCATCATTTTCATGTTGGGATCCTGAGTGACGCAAAGGGCCTAGGCCTGAGTGAGTTCTATTTCCTCTTTCTTGTGTAGTGGCCATAAGGGTGGGAGGACTGGTAGGTAGCCCCTGAACCTGCAGCCATTGCGTCCATGGGGAAAATGTCCCAGGGCAGGCCAGCAGGGGTTACACATAAGGCTATACCTCCACACCCAAACTTCTGAGTCATCAACCTGTCACTAGACCACTATCTCCTCGTGCTTCTGGACCCCAACATGAAGGACCCAACTAAAACTACAGCAATAGCACATTGTCTCTGGGTTATGCAAGCCAGAAAATTGACCTTACAGTCCTGCCCCTCTTAGGAACAGAAGGCAACCACATGATGCAAGAGATTGACAGATGGTCAAATCAAAAAAAAAAATGGTTCTAAGTCTTAAATGGAAAAGAGTGTCTATATTTCAGCCCATACCAGTTCTAAAATAACAACAATAATAATAAAAGAAAGAAAGGAAGGAAGGAAGGAAGGAAGGAAGGAAGGAAGGAAGGAAGGAAGGAAGGAAGGAAGAAAGAAAGAAAGAAAGAAAGAAAGAAAGAAAGAAAGAAAGTTTACAAGATAAGAGTCCTGAATACCAGTGGTGGCCAAATAAATTTCAAGAAACATTCAGTTAACAGAATTCCTAGGTTAGGTCGTTGGACCGGACTATAGGAAATGTCCCGTGAAAAAGTGGCGTGGGCTGACATTTACAGCCTCAGCAGTTGTCCTTGGGTGACTCATTCACATCCAGACAGCACTCCTCACCTCTGTATGTGCCTCTACCGGCCAGGGGCATAGCCAGTTAGCAGAGTGCCCTTTGGCTGGTATCCCCAGGCTGAAGGCAGGCCAAAGGTCAACCGTGAGCCACCTCTGACTTCAGGGACTCCCTACCAAACACCTGAGATGCTGTAACAGCCAGACTTCCAAACTCCATGTCCCTGGAGAGCTGTCCTAGCCACCCACTGTAACCTTGAACTGCTTCAGAATTCAAGCTGTCTCCTCTGGCCTTTCATTAACGCCTCTATGCTCCTGAAGCAGATGGGGCCCCCCATCATCACTAGGCCCACCGTGACAGTACCTACCTTCCCCATGGATACCAACAGTCATTTTGTGTGTTAGACCGGGCTTCCTTCTCTTAGGTTGAAAGAGCTGAGAGGAGTCCCTCCTCGCCACAGCCTGCCCAACACTGCGTGCACAAGGCCGCATGCAGCGATACCTACCCGGTAAACAGGAATGGAGGACTTCTTCAGAAGTCCCTGGGCCTCACACAGTCCATTTCTTCCCATTTTATGCTTAACCTAGTACACTCCTAAAGAGCCCACATGCCATGGAGAAGGGGAGTTGCCTCAGAGGATAAAGTACTTGTAAGGCTTGTCCTGGAAACACAAGGACCTGATTTTAAATCCTCAACATACCCTTTAAAAGCTGGGTATGGCAGCATGTGCCTCTAACCCCAGTATTGGAAGGGAGGAAAAAAAGACAGACCCTGAGACTCCCTGGGTAGCCAGCCTAACAAAAACAACAAGCTGGGTTCCATGAGATCCCGTTCTCAAAAAAAAAAAAAAAAAAAAAAAAAAAAAAAAAAAAAAAAAAAAAAAAAAAAACGAGAAGAGTAGGGAAGATAACGGATGTTGACTTCTTACCTGTGTGCGTGTACACACACACCCATCACACACACATACACACACGTGCTCTCTCTTTCTCACATACACACTTTCTCTCTCTCTCACACACACACACATACTCTTACACACACACCAACACACACAGGTAGAGCTACAATGCATTCTCTTTCTCTCACTCTATCTCTCTCTCACACACACACTCACACACACACCAACACACATAGGTAGAGCTCCACATGCATTCTCTCTCTCTCTCTCTCTCTCTCTCTCTCTCTCTCTCTCTCTCTCTCTCACACACACACACACACACACACACTGCAAATATACACACAAATGAGAAATCTCATGTCCCTAGGGTTTATATGGAGCCCCACTACCTGAAACATGGCACATACCCAGGTTTAGAAACTGGAAGACCCTGTGCATGGTATACTTGACATTGGATGCGTGGTCTTCCAGACGCAGAATGAGGAACTGTTCCTTACTAAAGACAGTGAGCCAGTCCAGAAGGTACACAGCATACAGCCCAACCTGGAGCCTCACCTAGGAAGGAAGAGGAGGATGTTACTGCAGAACGCACTTCCCCAGCCCTGTATGGTGCTTTTCCAAAGCATGACTGACATCTCTCTGTAAAGCAACACAGACTCATCTTAGCTAACGCTTGCTTTCTGAAGTCAAATATTAACACAAGGCATCTTGCCACATGTGCAAACAATCCCCACACTTAGGGCTACACATAATCTTCATGACAGCCCATGGGTGGCTCCAACCTCTACTCACAAGTGAGAACAGAAGCCTAGGCAAGATGTCAAAGGCATGAAGGTCCTTTGCATGACATGTGGGTGGCTGTCTTCTTGCTGTCAATCACAATAGACACCTCAAAGGCAACTGTGACTGCGAAGGCGCATGTGATGTCCTTAGAACACAACCATAGGGGAATAAAACCAAGCACAGGCGAAGCCTTCCTCCTTCCCTCCTACTCATTTCCTGAGTCTTTATCCTGTTTCATCTCTCATGCCAACCTAGAAACTGGTAGTAAAAAACTGACCCACACTCAAAGATAGGTCTGGCTCTTGCCCTCTGGGCTGGCAGGTGACTGCTAAGGCCTCTGGATTGCACTGCCCAGCAGGAGCAATTTCATTTCCCTAGACTGTGAGCACCAGTCAAGCTAACAGTGATTTCTAATGGAGCTGTGGTCTCCAGAATAACCAGAGGGTCAGTATTTTTTTAATTGATTTTATTGAGCTCTACATTTTTCTCTGCTCCCCTCCCCTTCTACCCTCTCCCATGGTCCCCATGCTCCCAATTTACTTAGGAGGTCTTGTCTTTTTCTATTTCCCATGTAGATTAGGTCCATGTATGTCTCTCTTAGGGTCCTCATTATTGTCTAGGTTCTCTGGGATTGTAAAGTGAAGGTTGGTTTTCTTTGTTTTATGTCTAAAAGCCACTTATGAGTGAGTGCATATGATGTTTGTCTTTCTGGGTCTGAGTTACCTCACTCAATATGATGTTTTCTAGATTCATCCATTTGCCTGCAAATCTCAAGATGTCATTATTTTTTCTGCTGTGTAGTACTCCATTATGTAACTATACCACATTTTCCTTATCTATTCTTCAAATGAGTGGCATTTAGGTTGTTTCCACGTTCTGGCTATGACAAACAATGTTGCTATGAACACAGTTGAGCACATGTCTTAGTAGTACGATTGAGCATCCTTTGGATATATACCCAAAAGTGGTATTGCTGGGTCTTGAGGAATGTTGTTTCCTAATTTTCTGGGAAATCACCATACTGATATCCAAAGGGGCTATACCAGCTTGCACTTCTACCAGCAATGCAGGAGTGTTCCCTTTACCCAACATCCTCTTCAGCATAAGTTGTCATCAATGTTTTTGATATTGGCCATTCTTACCGGTATAAGATGGAATATCAGACTTGTTTTGATTTGCATTTCTCTGATGACTAAGAATGTTGAACATTTCCTTAAGTGTCTTTTAGCCATTTTAGATTCCTCTGTTGAGAGTTCTCTGTTTAGGCCTGTACTCCATTTTTTTAAATTGGATTATGTGTTCTTTTGATGACCAATTTCTTGAGTTCTGTGTTTTGGAGATCAGACCTCTGTGTGATGTGAGGTTAGTGAAGATCTTTACCCATTCTGTAGGTTGTGGTTTTTGTCTTGTTGACCATGTTCTTTGCTTTACAGAAACTTCTCAGTTTCAGGAGGTCCCATTTATTAATTGTTTCTCTCAGTGTCTGTGCTGCTGGGGTTCTATTTAGGAAGTGGTTCCCTGTGCCAATGCATTCAAGTGTACTTCACTTTCTTTTCTATGAGGTTCAGTGTGGTTGGCTTTATGTTGAAGTCTTTGATCCATTTGGACTTGGGTTTTGTGCATGGTGCTAGATATGGGTCTATTTTCATTCTTCTACATGCTGATATCCAGTTATGTCAGCACCATTTGTTAAATATGCTTTCTTTTTCCATTTGACATTTTTTGCTTCTTTGTCAAAAATCAGGTGTTCGAAGGTGTATGGATTAATATCTGGGTCTTCGATTTGGTTCCATTGGTCCTCCTGTCTGTTTTTATGCCAATACCAGGCTGTTTTCAGTACTGTAGCTCTGTGGTAGAGTCAAAACTTCAGAAGTTCCTTTACTGTGCAGGATTGCTTTGGCTATTCTGGGTTTTTGCTTTTCCATATGAAGTTGAGTACCATTCTTTCGAGGTCTGTGAAGAATTTTGCTGGAATTTTGATGGGCATTGCATTGAATCAGTAGATTGCTTTTGGTAAGATTGCCATTTTTACTATGTTAATTCTACCTATCCAAGAGCATAGGAGATCTTTCCATTTTCTGGCGTCCTCTTCAATTTCTTTCTTCAAAGGCTTAAAGTTCTTATCATACAGGTCTTCCACTTGTTTGATTAGAGTTACTCTGAGATATTTTATGCTATATGTAGCTATTGTGAAGGGTGTTGTTTCTTTGGTTTCTTTCTCAGCCCTTTTATCATCTGTGTACAGGAGGGTTACTGACTTTTTTGAGTTAATCTTGTATTCTGCTACATCACTGAAAGCGTTTATGTGTTGTAGAAGCTCCTTGATAGAATTTTTGGGATTACTTATGTAAACTATCATATCATCAGCAAATAGTGAGAGTTTGACTTCTTCTTTTCCGATTTGTATCCCCTTGATCTCTTTTTGTTGTCTTATTACTCTAGCTAGAACCTCAAGAACTACATTGAATAGGTGTAGACAGAGAGTGGACAACCTTGTCTTGTTCCTGATTTCAGTGGGATCACTTTGAGTTTCTCTCCGTTTAGTTTGATGCTGGCTGTTGGCTTGCTGTTTATTGCCTTTATTATGTTTATGTATGTTCCTGTATCCCTGCTCAGAGGGTCAGTTTTGATGGAATCCCAATAAGAACTCTGAACGTTACAACTTGGGGTGGCCAGATTCCTCACTGTAGTCATGTGGTCATGCATGTATCACTGCTCGGAGGTGCTGGCACACCTCTGACTGAAGGGAAGCATGAACTGGAGGCTCTGCCATTCACTTTCCCTTGTGGATGTGACTCCGAATCCTCCCATGCCATAAGTTATGGTTATGGTCATATGAGCCTTTAGTGTGCCCTGTGAACCCTTCTGTAATACCAAACTTGAAGACGGTTGGTGACTTTCCTCCAGAACCCCCAGCTGAGCTGGCGTCAGAAGTGGGAGCACCTCACCCCTCCAACCTCCCTACTCAGACCCTTTTGTCTACTCCTATTAACACCTACTAGACACCCACAAGGCTCCTGGCTGGATCTCTCATCGCTATACTCCTCCTTCCACCTATCATGGCCATGTGCTTTGTAAAGCAGTGAGCCAGCCCTCACTGGCCCTGGCTCAGGGCCCTAGGGCTCTCCATTTGGAAAGCCCCAAGCTGCCTCCAACTTCCTATCATTCTTCCTCTGTGTCTCCTCCTTGGGGCATTCTCTTACTTATTATTTATTTGTTTGTTTATTGAGGCAAGCACTCTTCATCATTCTCCCTGATTAGCTTGACTTTGAGATTCCTGGGGGTAGGGCCATCAAGTCACCTCGTACAAAGCTTTGTGTCAGCGCTCAACGTCAGCTCCTGGCGGAACTGCTAAACACGGTATTAGCACAGCAAGGGAACATTTGACAGAGTGCGGGCAGATGCTAACCGTCTTCATCTCTCACGGTCTTTTTTCCAGTTCATCATTTTTCTAACAACGGAGGAAGCCAGGGAGGAAGGAAAACAATTAGAGGAAAGGCCCAAGTTGTCTCTGAAATCCCTTGGCTGTTGCTAAGCCTCGCTTTGGTACCTCTGCCTTACACACCGGCTCATAAAGACTTTAAACTGGGCTGAAGGCAATGGGCATGTGCCAGTCCCAGGAGCAAGCATACATGTAGCCTCCAACACGGAATAAGGATGAGAACATCGTGCTAGGTCAGGACTCCAGGGGCTTTCCCCATCTCTTCCCGACCAGTTTGCAGCCAGCCTGGCCTCACAAGGTTCATTTCTCCCAGAAAAACTAACTACTTTTGTAACTTGACAGCTTTCCAGAAGGAAAGGGGGTGACTGGTCAGCGACAGGACACTGGTGCTTAGAGCAGCTGTATCCTGTCCCTGCATCTGCCCTGGTGGCAGAAGAACCTCGGAGACCATCTTGCTGAGAGTCTACCACTGCCCTCAGGACACAGCCCTGCAGGGTCCTGGCTGCACAGGGCCTTCCTTACAGAGAGGGCTGGTCCAGGGAGTGAGGATGTGGGATGCCAATAAATGTGCTGGCTCCCAAAGGGAGAGCCTCCCACCCACTGGTTCCAGAACCTACCTCTCCCTCAGCCAGGGAGAGCTCTGGGCCCCTCAGGGACATTGTCTATGCAGCAACACACTTGCAACTGGGAACCATGAAGATAAGACAGCACCACACAAAGTCCCGTTTAACTCCTGTCCGTCCAGCTTAGGATGGGGATCAAAACAGAGTGAGAATCAAAATAGAACCGACACAGAGACAATATTTAGGGCAAGGGCCCAGTACATTTAAAATGAGAGAACACCAGAGTTGAAGGAAGCCTTTGAGCTATGGATGCCTGGTGACTCACTGACAAAGAGTCAGAGATCAGGAGGGCAGTGGTGTCTGCCTGGACTTAGCAGCTAACTCCTAACAAAGTCAAGTCATGGGGTCCAGTCCCTCATGGACACGATGCCTGTTCCACTACATAGCAAAGACCTTCTTGGGGCCTGAGGGAGTACGTTATGGGGGACCTAAGGCGCACCCCAGGGAGGCATAGGAAGCAACACAGGACATCCTAAAAAGTACCTTGAGGAGTCTAAAGACCAATAGGGACCAACTCATGGGAACCCTAGAAAGCACCCGAGGGGATCCAGTTTTGAGCCGAACCAAGCGACAGGCCCAACTCTGGCCCAAACAGGAGCCACTGCAGCCCTCACTGTTCCCCCAGTTTCCGGTGGGACCCCACCCTGCCTCCCTTCTCACTCAGGCAGTCACTCATTCATTCAGCAAATGCTGTGCATTCACACGGTGTATCAAGTACCACACCAGGCAGTGAAGATGTGACGCTCCTTCACAGGCAAGGCCCTGACTCCTCAGAGACAGCTCTGAACTGATCAAGGAACAGACACCTGTCATCACCAATTGTGACAAGCGTTATGGGGGAGGTCAGATTAAAGAAAGTTATTAAAGATGAGAAGTTCTCGGACAGGCAGGGGAAGCATGTCGAGGAAGAGGGGGAAGAGCCACAGAGAAGGCTCCGGAGCCCAGCATAACTGAACACACGCATTTCCTCAGCAGGCCAGTTAGGCAGATAGGTCTCCCCACCTGCAGCCTAACCCCCAGCCTAAAAGGGTCTTCACACCTGTACCCTCCGGCAGAATCTGCTACATGATATGTAGGGGGAGCAGAGGCCCTGCCCAAAGGCCATCTGAGGACCTAAGTGGAGAGAGGGTGGCTATGACATAGTGATGGAAAAAGAGGGATTGTGGTGGGGAAAGGAGGCCTTCGGGCAGTGAGGTGCCATATGAAGGCCTTAATAGAGTATCCAGGGCTAGCTGTGGTGGGCATGCCTGCAATGCCAGCACCCAGGAAACTAGACCACATTCCCCATACTATAGATGGGTTGCATGAGCAGCTGTAAAGGACCTTTCTCCCCATCCCAGTGAGAAACCATCTCCTGAAGTAGTCTCTTTTCCATCCCTAACTGCCCACTTCTCTTCCGCTGCAGAGCCCGTTCTGGACTTCAGCTACCCTGTCCACTGCCACGCCCCTGGAGCTCTCTCCCTTAGACAAGAGGCACCACACTATGGTGTTGTCAACCTCGGCAAGTCACAAATGAAATTCAGAGTACATGCCTCCTGCTGGCTCAGAGCCATTTTTAAGAGCGAGAAAAGGAAGACCAGTTTCAAAGTCTATCAGAACTGGTAGCCTGTTGCTAGCTGTGGGTGGGAGACACCTTCCATGAGTCTCGGTGTCCCCATCTGTAAAACGGGAATGACTTCAGAGGTCAGGGAGGAAGCAGAGTTTAGGATAGTATCCAGTGAGCAGTGAACTGAAGTTAGATACTTCCTGTCTCTCACCAATGGACTTGGCAAACATTTAGTATGGATGTTTCTAGTACACCCAGAGGTGGAGAGCATCACGCGGCTACCCATGAACTTCCCACCCAGTCACAATGGTGTCCCCATGTTCCGTCAGCCTGTAGCCAGGAAAAAGAGAGGAAACGCACCAGGCACGGCCCCTCTTCCCTGTGGGAGGAAATGGCTGTGGATATCCTGTCTCTAGGAAGGCTATTTAGAGACAGCCAAAGTACATCCAGCTTGGCTGGTGCAGGCTTTGTCTTTCCCAGGGCAGACCTCAGGGTAGAATGAAATGTCACCTCATACAAATCAGCTTCTATCCGACACTGACCCTTCACAGGGCGGGAGAAGCTCGGTTCACAGCTATTAAACCCAACTACGCCTGTGTCAGGACTCCCAAAGCCTTGCCTCTCTCTCTCTCCGTGAAGCCCAGCCAACTGAGGCGGGAATGAGTCTACATCTGTCCCTCCCTCTCTGAAGTCTTCCTCAGGAGAGCTCCCAAAGAGAGAGCTGGGTGCTGACTGCTTGGGTGAGAATGTCCTTGCCTCTCTTGGGAGACACACTAGCCAAACCCCTCACGCCTCACTGCCCATCTGACCTGCTCCTGCCTCCCTCTCTCTTCCCTTCTTTGCGGGCTTGTGTTGAGAGATGATGCACAGCACCATCACAAACAGGAAATTCCAGAAGGTCCGGGAAGGAAGCAGCCCTAAGGCAGGCAGCATCCAGGATTATCTGAATCTTCCCAACAGACCACCTGCCTACTCCCACCCTCCAGAGCCTGCTACATGTTAGCGCAAGAGAGCGGACTTCTGGAGACAGGCTGGAGCCCCAACGAAAGCTAGGTTCAAAGCCTAGACTGGGGTCTCAGATTCCCCATCTACTGCGTAGCTGGCTACAAAAGTCAACAAGACAGAGCCTCACTATCCCTGTCTATAAAAGCAAGCCCCAGCAACAGGAGGGTCTGTGTCGAGGCACAGCCCCAGGCTGGTGGGCAGCCAACACGGGCAGAGTCCATCACTTCCCAACCAGGTTGAAGTACTTCCACTCTTCGAGGGGCTCCAGTTGTACCAAGGGGCAGTACCATACATTTATGAATGCAGAAACATGTGAAACAACTCTCAGTCTTGAGTTCCCATAAAAACCTGGCCGTTTTCTAATGAAGCAGCTGAGCTTCAGAAAGGCCATGACAGTTGTGCAGAGTCACACAGCCAGAGTGGACCCACGCCACCGTCTGCCTCCAAAGCTTGCCTAGCTGAAAACGTGGCTACCTCTGCTGATCTTCCTTGCTGAACGACAATGTCTGCAGGAAGACACCCCAGGGTAAGAAAAAATGGTCTGAGAAGCCAGGCAGAGAGACTGAAGTCTTCCCTCTGAGCCTCGCTGTCCTGGAGTGGGGGGGGGGGGTCTCACCTACAGCCATCTGTGCATACCTAACATGTGACATGGCTTTACATGGTGACAGGTAGCTACCTAAGGCAAGAGCCCTGCAGTGGAAGCAAGCACTCAGACCTGGGAGCCTACAGTGGAAATGCGACCTCAGCTAAGTCACTGGATTCGCAGCCAGCAAGAGTTTTGTGCTGTTTGCATGAGGCTGGAACCTAGGTGTATTACTTAAGAGGAGGCAGAGAACAACAGAGGAGTCGAGAGGACATTCTTCAGTGAAGACCTTGTCGGAATGTTCAGACTCACAAGCGGGTAATTTGGAACCCGACGGAATGGCCCATGCCGCAGTGATGCGCGAGACAACCTGAGGACCAGAGTCTTCCTGTCTCTAATTACAGAGTGCGCTTTGGAGCCTTACTAAATGGCAGGCCTCTTAAGTGCACCCTGGATCCCTAGTAGAGGGAGGAGATGCACGATGCCAAGTGTCTGGGTGACAGGCAAGAAAGAACACAAACAACAGGCTGGAAAGATCCAGCTGCTCTCGCGGCTCTCCAGGCAGGAGTATCTGCTTCCACATTAGCTACTGCTCTGAGACAGCTCGGTATCATCTGCACATTCGGATGCTCTGCTCCCCACCCCCCCACCCCCGTCTCTGAGCTAAAACCCTGTTCACACAATGAACCCCCCCCCCCGCACACAGAATAGCATCCGAGTGGCCCCGCTCTGTACGGGCTTGGCTTGGCGAATACGCACGGGCATGGCGTTGTTCAGGGTGTTGTTGTAGACACAGGCGCGCAGCGAATAATCCAGCATGCAATTTTCAAACAGCTGCAGAGCCTCCGTCACCTTCTCGTGAAAGTCGTCTGCAGATTTATTTGAACTTGCAAAGTAGAGATAGTCCGAGTACAGCCTGTGAATAAAATAAATGATACTCTTACCACCCGAGAACGCGAAGCCACACCACGTGGGTGACAATGAAAATCATCTCGCCGTTACTTTAGCTAGCTCGATTTATTAAAATACAACAATTTCTCTTCCCTTTCTTTCAGATGAGCCCCCTCCCTCCCTTCTCTTCTTGCTCCCACCCATATCACACCGCCTACCCTTCCAACTCAGACGTGTTTACCCCAGCCCCAAACACCGGCCAGTGGTGGCTTTTGTTATTAGCTTGTGGTTGGTTGTTGTCTTTCTTTCGTTAATTTTATTTTGTTTATTATTGGGGCGTGGGAGGTCATGCAGATGCCACAGCGCATGTCGTGTGGCGACTAAGGACACCTCTGTGCAGCCAGTTCCCGTCTTACACCTTTGTACAGGTTCCAGACATGAAACTCGGGCCTACCAGGTTTGTCGCTAGATCACCTAGTCTTCATCTACTTTTTAAAGAAAACCTGTTTATTTATTGGGCGTGAGGGCCACAGCATGCGTGTAGAAGCCAGAGGCCAGCATGCAGTTAGGGGTCCTGTCCTTCCACCATGTGAGTCCAGGGACTGAACTTAGGCTCTCGGCCTTGGCAGAAGGCGCCTTTCCCCGCTGAGTCACTCACTACCCCACCTTGCTGCTTAAAATTCCTTCTAGTTCCCTCAGGCAGCAGTTATTTCCACAACCAGGTTTCAAAAACCATTCAAAAGCAAGGAGAAGCCATGAAAATATTCTGCGCTGTCTCATTCCCTTCTCTTGAAGGGACCTAAACCAGGGTACATGCCATCCAGGCAGGATTACAATCCCCTGTGAAATTCCTGAGTTTTCCCATACTTATTCTGAATATCTAAAGATACATTCGAAATCGGGAATGGTAGTTCAATACCTGTAATCAAAAAGCTTGAGGCAGGTGAATGTCTGAATTTGAGGCCCATGGGGGATAGATATAAAGTCATTAGGCCAGTTTTGACTACTGTGTAAAAACCCTGTCTCAAAACAGACTAAAAGCACCCACAAATACGCATGGAAACACCTGCAGACCGGTGTGCTGTGCAGACACCACACATGGGCATTTGCATGTAACCACATTTTCCACAGGAGTTGCCCGTCTCCCTTAACCTCACTTGTTAGTGCTCCATTTTTCTGTGTGCAATGTCGCATTTGAGCAAGAATTCTGCTGTTAAAAGAATGGCACACACCTTTAATCCCCAGCACTCGGGAGGTTAAGGCAGGCAGATCTCTGAGGCTACCCTGGTCTGCAAAGCAAGTTCCAGGACAGCCAGGGCTACACAGAGAAACTCAGTCTCAAAAAACCAAACAGAAGAAAAGAAAAGAGGGGGTGAGGGGGGAAGAGAGGGAAGAAGGGGAAGAGAGAAAGACACAGAGAGAGTTAATTTATGAAGGTATGTGCCTCAGAAGGCTGAGGAAGAAAGATCTTGAGTTCAAGGACAACATATTGGACAATATAAGGAATAACATACTGAGTTCAAGTCCAGTTGTGACTCAAAATCTAGACCCCTGGAAGAGGGAGGAGAAGAGAGGGAAGAGGAGGGAAAGGAAAGAGACAGGAGGGGAGGGACAGAAAATTCATGGGAGGCCACTAGAAAACTAAACAACTAAAGAAATCTGTTGATGTTTGGGTTGTAGACATGGCTAAGCTGACTAGGCTATAACCCACCCCCACTCCTAAATCGTGGCCACCCTCTGACTTGGCAGGGATCCTCCTAGCCCAGCAGATGCTCCTGGCCTGCTGAGGGAGCAATCCTGGTGCAACAGCTTAGCCAGACTCCCCCACCCTTGAGTTTTCCTTTAGTGATTTCCATTCCCAGTCCATTTCTTGCATCTAAAAATCCTGCTTCTGCGGTACTCCAAGCTGAGCTCAATCGCTCCCCTCCACAGCAGAGCCCCATCGCAGCAGCTACACCTCCAGCAACAGCCGGAAATGAAATCGGCTTGAATGTTTCAGCAGATGCTGGGATAATTTCTTCCCTTTGAGAACTCCTGGGACGTGTTTCCTAACTATTTCACCTCCGTTGCTGCTTGCAAAGAAAGTAAGAATTCCCCGCTGTCGGCTTTGTTTTTCCAGATGTTTCCCTCTCTGCTCCTCCTGCAAGCACCTGCCCATGCTCCCACAGCTCTGTAAGACATCCTTCATGAACACGCAAACCCTAACTGCACCCCCGACCATGGGCGATGCTGGCTGGGCTGGTGCCAAGAGCCTGGGGCTCTATGGCATGTTGCCCTCTCCTCCCAGCGCTGTACTCTCAAGCCTTCTGCATCCCCAGTCTGTTATCTCTCCTTCCAGTGAGTCTCCTTATCTTTATGTGTCTAGGGATGGGATATCTGCACTGAACATCACCCCTGTGCTCCCACCTCCACTGGGCTACATGCATTCTGCAGAGGTCATGACTTGCTTCCAGGCCTCCTGCTGGGCACTCTCTCCACTCGTACCGCTGACAACACTGTAACACTCCACGTGTTGACCCCCACCTGGTGCAATGTCTTTGCGGTCTCTCCCTCGGTATTCTTTCTCAGCCAGGTCCACAGAGGATGTTTTGGGGTGTTTGGGGTTGCTCGGGGGTTGCCTAAAAGCGGCAGCACACAGGTGGGACTGGAGTGTTTTGTTTATTTCAGCTTGGCCAGCCGAACATTTCAAAAGAACTTGCTTTGGGCCAACAAGATGGCTCAGTAGGTAAAGATACCAGACACCTAGCCTATGGTTCTGAGTTCAATACCTAGGACCCATGTAGTATGTAAGAGATCCTTGTGAACACAGATAAGGAAGCTTGTCTCTTCAAAGAAAGATGTTTACCCGTCTACCCAGAAGGTTGGGAAACGATATAGTTTACGACCTGGTGATTCTTTGCTATCTATAAGACCAGGCTTCACCCAAAAACCACAGAATATTGTATTTGTTTATTCCAGGCCTTTTCCCATCAAACCTTGAACTTTGCTTCTCGGTTCATAAAATGCATCCTTGTGAGAGGTGTCACTCGTATTTTACAACAGCCTAAGTGACTTCTATGTTATTTTAGGGCCAGGCCAATCCTGAGTCCCACAGACAATATATTTACCTCGGCCATTCTCCCCAGAGCCTTAGCTTGATCACTGTTTCTAAGTCAGTGGAACTCATCTTTATGGAAGACGCCACACATACTTTGCAAACAGTTTCAATATAAACATATCTTAAGTTCTGTTGTACAAAGGGTAGTGGAGTTAATTGTCATCACGAAACTTTTCTCCAAGAGGGTGTTGTGCTTAAATATGGCTAACACCTATTATCTGGAGTCAGACTCAGGAAGTTTGAAATCGGTGATGGCTAATGATAGTTAAACTGAGTCGAGTTTCATTCTTTCCTTGAACTCAGATTGTTCCACTGCTGCCCAAAGAGACTGCAAAGACTCGCAGGGGACCCACATGGTAGAAGGAAAGTGCTAGCTCTTGAAAGTTATCCTATGACCTTCACAAGTATGCCTTGGCATATGTGTGCATGCACACTCACACACACACATACACAGCCACATTATAAATTTTCAAAAACAGTACTACTTTCAAACTGACTTTCCTCATGACATCCCATGCTTTCACAAGGCATGAGCAGAATGATCCCCAAGATTCATATGTTGTGGTATTTTGAATGTACCTGTCCCCATAAGCTCATAGCAAGTGGCGCTATTAGGAAGGTGTGGCTTCGTTGGAGAAGGTATGATCTTGTTGGAGGAAGTATGTCACTATGAGGGTGGACTTTGAGGTCTCATATATGCCCAAGTCATGTCCAATGCCACAGTCAACTTCCTGTTACCTGCTCGATGTAGAACTCTCAGCTCCTCTCCAGCACCTGCATGCTGCCATGCACCCCACTCTGATGATGATAATGGACTGAACTTCTAAGTATATGTTTTTCTTTCTAAGAATTGCCTTGATCATGGTGTCTCTTCTCAACAATAGAAACCTTAACTAAGACATCCATTTACCCAAGTTAATCCATCTGGTGCCGCTGGTATCAGTTGTACCATGATACCTTCCTTCTTCACCATCAGAACAATTACTGCAGAGCATTTGGTTACAGCCAGGAATCAGATTTGCATGGACCTCAGTACGCAGGTCAGAACCCTTCCTGAGACACGTGTATCCTAGCATCTCTGTCAATAAACAGTCTGACTCAACCCAAGAAACGGTGCCAGAGAAAAATGACAACTGCCTCAACTCTTGGCCAGCCTTGCATGTGATACACCCAAACCTGACCTTTACCTAGGATGGCCACAGAGCTAGCCACATAAACTCCCTCAGAAGAACCCAGTCATTGGCCCAAGGCTTCTTCCTGACATTTCCCCCTGTGGTAATAGCAATTCTTAGAGGCATTGGTTCATAAACAAAATGATTAATTAAAGACTGACTCAATTCTTGGTACCTGCCTGCCGATTCCTTGAAGTTCTTCAGCGATGGGAAAGTAATTCGTGAGGGAACACTAGGATGTGTTCAGCATTCCATCCAGGAACTTGCACCCCACCCAGGTGAAGCTAAGGATTTGCATGTTCAGGGTACCCAGAGGCAAACTCACGTATACCAAGGACCTTTCAACCTTTTAAATTAGTGGAGGTCACTTTCGTGGCAAGGTGAGAGAATTCTGGGGCAGAGACACACTCCAGTAGCCAATCACAGAATATTGACACCTCTAAAAGCCAGCAGAAGCTGCAAGCCAGGGCTAGGTAGAGGACCTATTCAGACACCATGGAGGGTACCAACCCTGCATGACATCCTGATCTCTGACTTCCAGCCTCCACACTGAAACAGAAAAACGTCGTTGGTCAAAGCCACTGAGTACGGGATGGTTTATCGGAACAGCCCTAGAAAAACGGTGGAGTCCTTAACCCAAGAAAGACGGAGGACTTATTTATTCAATGCCACTCTCCAGAGACCCGGAACATCGGCCCCAAATGTACAGAAAGAACTGGCCATGAGGCCATAATTTCCTGAAGGAAACAAGAGGGT